GACTTAGCCCCTGTACCTGGACTTGCAAGATCATTTAGACTCTGAGGTCCCACCTGAAATGAACAGGTGCCAACATCATCTTTAGCTTTGTAGGATTAGCCTTTAGTCTCTAAAAGAGGACTAAGTGTACAATTCAAAGGGATGCTAATAAAAATAAATAAATTCAGTTTCAAAGAAACTGAAATGCTTAAACACAACAGTAAAAATGGCCACAAAATTGCTAAGGGGAAAATATGATATAACATACTTGCCTATAAGCAGAGATACGTATAACACATGAAAGCATGACCAGAGAGGACATATATTCAGAATATGGTCTGGGTTAACAACCTTTAGACCCACATGGCCCAGAACTAGTGAAACACTTGGAAAACACAGCAGCAGATGTTCTCACACTAGGGCAAGATCCTGTCCAACTCGCATCAAAAGAAACCACTTCCAGGATGTGGTTAACCTACAAATAGTTTAGGAAAAGAACTTAGATGTCACTAGTTACCCTGCCTCAATCATTTCGAGCAATGGCCAATGTGCTCTGTTGTCATCCAAACCCACGCTCCTGGAGACAGCTCCAGTCTGGGAGCAAACAGTGCAGTGCTGACTTGGCAGAGCGAGTAGGGGATTACTGTTTACTCACAGAAGGAAGGACTGATCCTCTAATCACCCTGCAGCACATCTTGGGATTCTAGCAACACCAGCTCAGATAACGCATGAGATGTGTGCAGGGAAGAAGAAATCAGGCACAGACCGTTTCCCAAGCAGCTATGCGTGCATACTTAATGATTCTCGGGAAGAGCAAGCGGCCACCAGGAAACGTGTTGGCGGGGAGCCCTTTGGAGTCCCACATGAGCTGCTTGGTTCTGTAGCAAAGCAGGATTAATTCCCCCATCTTTTCCGAGAGAAAGAATCCAAAACTGCCATCCCCGCCCACTCATCATTACTGGATTGAGAAAGCCAAGTTTTAGTGAAAACTCAAAGCAGCAAACACAGCAAGTAAAAAAAGGCTCCAAATTCTTACCTGTAAGATCACAGCTGTAGAACAGGAGGAACAGAGATCTGCTTGTCCCTAAGAGCACGCATGGATGGGTCTGGAGCCTTCTAGCCAAGGGAAGAGGTGCTGACAGACAAGGAAAACTCCTCTTGTTGGGGGTTGCGTTCCTGGAGATGCTGACAAAAAGGTGCTCGGCTTTACAAGACCTTCCTTTGGAGTGTGTGTGGTCAGACTACTTGAAAATGCCATTTCTTGTTAGTTCTGATGCTGTGCTAAGAGCCTCCCTTTAAAGGGAACCGCTTCGTTTTGCCCTTCAGGTGACTACAGGGGGACAAGGCTTCCTACCGTATGCAATACCTTCCTACTGACCGAGTTCACCCCATCTCTTTCTTACCAACTCAGATGAAGTGTTCAGCTGCATTTAACATTTTTGGAACATTATATCTCAGAATCTTTAAGCTAAACTGATTTTTGGTTTTAGATTCTGTAGAAACATTCCTACTGTATCTTCTTACAGGCTGGTTCTGCACTCACCTCCTCCCAAATCTGTCCTCCTTGTCTGAATCCTTCTGTAATGTTGAGCGCAAGAGGGATTTCTTGCCTTCTTTTTTTAAAAAGAGGTCCTTTTGAAGGCCTGAGAATTTGTTCTTATAATCTTGTTTCCAGCTTAGGAAAAAAGTTCAATTAGCTGCAGAAACTGAAGCACAAAGTTGAGCAAAACTATTCTTTGAACTCAAAGATATTGTTTTACAGTAGGGAATTCAACACATGAGCAACCCCTTACCAAAACTAGCCAGGGCAAACTGCAGTTGAATTCAGATAGGCCAAGGACTCTAGGACAGCCAAGTTCCTGCAGTGTAAAGGCTTCAGACCTGACAGACTCTGCTCTGACAGAGTCCACTTCTGCAGTCCAACTGTTGTCTAAAAAAACCTGTTCCTTCCTCTACCATTATCTTGTTTCTGCTTTTCTGACATGCTAATGAAGCAAAAGAGTACTAGATGCCATCTGGAATCCCAGCTACAATGAAAATCCTGCAGCAAACCAACACTTTATTTCCTCCACTTAGTACAGAGCTTTGCACAAAGGGGTTTGAGTTACCTTTATTAGATATTTTTGCTATATTAATAGATAACAAGTTATGATTTTTGATAGCCTTTTCTATATTACAAAAGGATGCTTATGTCACTTTAAGTTGTGTGCATGTTAGGATCATTCTGTAGTGTTCAAAGCAGTACAATTCTCAGACAGGTTTCAATTTTTCTCTAGGTATATAAATTGCAACCATCTTGTCCTTTCAGAATTCAGAGAAAGGGATGCTTAATCATTCTGTAAAGCAGCAAGCCTGTTGTGGATATTTATAAAGCAATAAGGTAACTGTGGACGAGGCTCTTTGACTGGAACAGCGCACTACAGCACAGCTGAAGTCTTCAGTGTCTTCAAGCCAGACCCAAGCGCTACTAAGCTGGAAAAGTGATTTGAGCCTGGAATTTGGTAGTCCATGTCTGACCTCCAAACTTTATCTGGCCGTTTTTGCAAAAGAAGCTGCAAGCTATCTTCAAGTTTGCTCTAACATGAGATTATTCTCCTAGAAGCAGCTCAGCTACCATCACCTATTCATTGTAAGAGAATGTAGAGATTTCTACTATTCAACAATTCTGGAAGAATCTCCTCCAGTTTTGTCATGCCTTTTTGGACAAGGTAACTTGCAAGCTTTGGATGTTTCCTCTTGAGCTCCACTATCATTTCTCCCAGCCAGCATTTTCAGAAGGAACTAAAACAGAATATTCAACATATAAGTATGATTACCAGCCTGAAACATACTTATTACTGAACAAGTGAAGTTTTTAGAAAAAACGTATGAAGAAAACAGGTCAAAAACCTTGTGCTCATACTGCTCATGGCTGCAGTTTTTCTTACATGATATGAGCCCCCAAACCCAGTAAAACCCCTTCTTGGGACTTCAGAGAGCAAAACTCATTTTATGCCCACAATTACTCCATAGCTAAGGCAGTGTTGGCTTCCACACATGCTGATGTCACCTTTCAAAGGGTCTCAGACATTAGCTCAGAGCCCTGCTACTTGGAAGCATACTTCAAACAGCTGTTGTTCACTTGAGAACAACATGAGAACACAGCACTCTACCCCATGGTCCTCCAGGCTAAGCGAAGCCAGGTCCGCTGTCAAGCGTCCCGGCTTAACTGAGCCCTTTGCTGCAGTTTGACACCCCAGCTGGGAGAACCCCATGCCTCCCCACCTCCAAACATGAGCTCCAGCGCACAAGAGCAGGGAACCAGAGGTCCCTAATCCAGCTAACCGCATGGCCAGGACCCTGGCACAGCGCAGCAAAAGCCACAGGCACATTGAACTGGAGACACAGTCAATACCCTTAGCAGGTTCTCCCAACTCACCTGAGGTTTTCGGTATCCCTTTCTTTCCAGGAATTCATTAAAGGCAAGTGTACTGTGGAGCTGTGCAATTTCCATCTAAGTTAATTTCAAGAATAGATTAAAATAAATCATGCAAAACGAGTTCTTATGCACAGCTTCATCAGGCCAAACAAAACCAGAACACACTTGTCCATCTCTCAGAACTACTTAACCACTAAACATTAACTGGTAACAACTAACTAGTTCAGATTTGATTTGCTTTTTGAAATAATTTTTTATTCAGTTGTAACTTATGGCCCTATAATCTGATGTTCTGTGCAACACAAAAAAATTGTCCTCTTCCCTCCCCACCCCCAGCATCTTTGGGAGGAAAGGTTTATTCTTTATGTAAGTAAAAACCACCACCTTCACTGTGTGCTATATTCCCAGGAGGAGCTGGCCAAAACCAAATAAAACACCCTCTCCCCAAAACCCCAAACACACCCCCCCCCAAAACCCCAAACAAAAAGCCCCACACCCCCAGTCAGATAAGCTTTGTCTTTGTTGTTAGACAGTAGTCACAAAACAGACCTTTGCCTTTGTGTTCTTCTGAGCGTAGCTGTTTCTAGGTATCTTCTTTATAAGACTCTATTTGACCGATGCAATTAAACTGTCCTATGTTCTTGGTTCAGAACCAGCCCCACGCTGCCTGTCAAATACCAGCATGTATCACGACATCCCCACCGCAGTTTAGAGTATGGCTCTTTTCCAACTTTTCATGAGAAGACAATAGCAGTGGTGCTCCTCATTCAGCACACCAACCTTTGTGCGTGGACAACTGCTTTAGTGCAACTCCCCGGTTTTACCTTTGGAAGGGCTGCCCTCTAGAGTACGAGCAAAGTCTTCTGTTTCCCTTAGGTTTATGTAGTAAGCATGAGGATGGAATACACCCTTTTCGTAAAGGGGAAAGCGTACCTACACCTAAATAAAGCCAGCAATTGAAAAACCAGCCGGCTGGCTCTTCAAACACCTTTTAACAACACCTGAAAAGCCCAAAGTACAATGCTAGCAACCTTTATTTCTCATCACTCCCCGGGATATTTTGAGCAGGCATCTGCTTGTATCACAGTTGAATCCAACTCCTTTGTAAAGATAGGTATTGCAATAGAAAAAGACCAAGTGGAAAAATAACCTACAATATTCCGAAATGCCACTTGCTTGCTTTTAGCAAAGGAATGCATTTTGGCCACTTTTGATACCAAGAACATTAAAGGAATTCCATTTACAGCAGTTAAACTAAATCTTGATTTGTGCATAGCTGCTTGCTTGAGCTATTTTCCACACATAGGTGCTGCAGAGTCCCAGTTTAATAGAGCAAATTGGCCTCTTTCAACCGCAGTTGTCTTAGCTTGGTTAATACGGGCTGTTCTACATTTGTGCGTAGCTACCAGGCACATTACAGAACCCAGGACTATTCCCATAGTAACATAAGCTCTCTCATTTCTGTGTCACACAAAAATGATATTGCAGACTGCTTTACACTCATGGTACCTTTTCAAACTGATGTTTTCCATTCCCAAGGCTATTGCCTGCAGTTTCCAGAGCTTTTAAGGGTTCACTCCCTTTCCATTTTCTCCACATTTTTGGGTCAAGGTACCAGGATCCATATCTGATCTTCTCCTGTTTCGGTTGTGAAAGTTCCTGTGAAAAACATCATTACAGTGTTCGCTCATCTTGAGGTTTGCCCTTCATGCCATATGGCCCACAGACCAGTACTGTCCCAGAAAATGAACACCACCTATAAAGGGTCTGGTAGGGATGATCTTGTATCTCAGTTACAAAGCACGGCTGATAGTTGGTGTGAGCATCTGACTAGTATTATAAGCTGCTTCTGAGAACCTTTAGCCTCAAGCCATTTGACCACCATTCGGCTGACTGGTTCATTTGCAAAGACCCTGGAAAGGAAGCCTGTGAGGTTTAGGCTTTGAGAGTCAGGGGCTGAATAATTGTTCTTTTATTCCAGAACATCTGAAATTGAAACAAACCTAGCTATAGGGTTGGAGAAAGTTGAGGTTTCAGTATAAACCAAAACTGGACCAGCTCTGGTCTCTTCAAAAGTCTCCTGCAGAGGTTTTCCTAAAACTCTTCCTCCAATTCTAGCCTCAGTGTACAACCTTTTTGTCTACACATTCAATAATTAAAATAAAGGAACAAATGCAGCAAGAAAGGCAGGTAACAGGAGAAGTAGGGACTGGAAGTCAGTTGTCCTATGCTTCAGCTTCTTCCAGTTGCTTATGCCACAGCCACTCCCCCTGCGTTCACATGGCAGGGGCACAGAGCTACTCATGACTGAGGTGTTTCAGAGGCACCAACTGTAATATCTAACTAACCATCCTTTGAAATGGATCAGACTACATCCTTCACCTGATCCAAAGCGCACAATATTCCAAAGTGTTTTCCCAGTGTTTCTACTGCCACTGGGTACAAAGCTGCTGAGAATCCTCTGCAGCTGGACCAGCAAAAAGGCTGTATGGTTAGACCCTAGGTGACACTCATGTCTCATTCTTCCTGTTTCACTACTCTGCTCCATCTCAAAAGAGTAACTTCATCAGTAGTTCCTTTTCCCACCACACTCTGGATCCTTAAGGCATGTTTGCAGAGAAGTATCAAGTGCTTCTGGGAAACCAGGACCCTTCCTTATCTGCAGTGGACACCCTCCCCTAAAAAGCCACCAAAATAACTAGGCTTCTTCAAATTTAAATGTGGGCTTATATTATACCTTAATATGGCAGGGCAGGTGCCTTATGCGATGAGAACTCTTGACAGCAGCCCACAGAGGTGAAACCTCCTGGCTCTTTGGCTGCTCTGCTTGCATGTTCCTGAGTTTCCCAATATGGAAAGGTGTAGGGAGGGTGACCTTGCTTTCACAGCTAGTGCTGAACAAGTTCATGAGGGTGTCTTCATCAATGTTGCAGTTTCCTCCACCCTGGAACACAAGCCCCAAGACAGCCTCAGAGCAGGCAAAGACAATTTCTCATTACTATCTTTCTTCCACGCATTTGTTTCACTTCCACTCCCCTAGCCCCAGTCCTCCAAATGTATATCTATAGTAAAAGTAAACCCGAAGTCAGTGTCAGCTGGTCTACAGGTATGTTTGCATTGGCATCATTGCAGCAAGCAGGAGGCATGCTCAAAGTCAATTTGTAACTAAAACATGAATTGGGGCATTAATGTCAGGTAAACAGGGAATGATCCAAGGTGAGACAGTTCAGTCGTCTAACTCATACACTGATGGCCTCCTCCTGGAAATTCTTCATTAAGTAAACTTACTTGCAGTGTTTCTGCTTAACCTTACTGTACACTTCGATGCGGTGAAACCCGTTAGCCATAACATGACAGAGTTGAGTCAGAAAAGGTTTTCTGGCTTTGGCTCTTGGATTCACACAACCAGAATAATATTTTTACTTCCTAAGTCTGAAGACGTTTGGCCTAAATGAAGTCACTGATTTATAGAAGAAAAGGACAGGTGGTGGCAGGTTTTGGGGCAGAGAAGTCTAAGCCCTTCCCCCTCCAATCCAACTTACCAAAGACATAACCCAGTCACAAAAATGCTTGGTTGCCCGCTTTATATTTTCATCAATGAGAGCAAAGTCATTCAGTTTGGCCACTTTTTCTCTTGCTGCTACCTCCTTCTTCTTGGTAAGCCATATACATGCGTTTTTGCCTCGAGACTCCTTGCTGCTGAATGGATAAATACAAAGTCTGAAACACTCCTTGTTTAGCTGCAGCTACAGTTGTCAGTTCTAGAGGAAAGCCTAAAGCTGGATCCTGTGTTTGCACATATCCCTCTGGATCACAGCTGGTACAGTTCAGCACCAGATATGGCAATAATTTTTTCGCATGGAATAGCTTAAGCCATTTGACCTAGTTTTAAATATCGGCTTCATAAATAAAAGGCAGGGCTCCACCTGCTGTATAACAACAAAGTGCCAAGATTGGGATGCAAGATTTCAGAAATAATCTGCAATTTTCAAAATAGAAAACTCTTTTTAAAGAGTCAAGCTTGGAGTCTCATACCCATTGCCATGCCTTTCTCATTATTAAAAGCACCTGAGCAAGAATAAAATATTGCTTATATTCTGCCTTAGCTGACTCAGACTGTAAGAACATCTTTGGTCAGCTCTATTTTTTTGGCATTACTCAGTGCTAATCCTGACTAGTCTGGACAAGAAGGATATCAAATAGTTTATCAGCAATACCATTTGAGGAAGGCAAAGAAATCTTCTAATGACAACTACCCCTTTGACAGAATGTTGATGAAAGGGCTAGCTGAAGAAGTTTTTACAAAATGCTTATGTGAACACTGTAAATCTCAGAAGGATAAAGACAACACTGAAACAAATAAAATGTTAAATTCATCAGCACTAGCTGAGAGGATTTCCTGTAGTAGGTTTTGTTTTGTCTGGTTCTGACTGGGAACATGCCTGCCTGCGTAAACCTGAACTTCTTTCCACACATCTCATCTCAGAGCAGAGGGATTCAGAAAGCCTTAGTGCTGCTCTCTTCATCCTGTCCTCCACTCACAGTGATGGTATCTGGGTATCTGTTGCTTTGCTTCGCTCGTCCCCTTGCATCATCTGAAGAGGCTGGTTCTCCTGTTCAGAGTCATTGTATCCAATTTTACCACTTAAATGCATTTCAGGATAGAGGACACCGATGACCTCTTGAAGGAGCTGTAAGCCAACCAAGAAAGCATGTGTTCAAAAATGCTTTGTTGGATAAAATCCTCTTGGGGGCTGTGTGAAAGACACAGAGGCCTCCCTAGGTCTACCAGTGGAACAGTTCATAAACCAGTAGCTCCATGTTATACATTTTTCTCAAAACTGCTAGCTAGAGCATTAGTTGCTACTCAGGCTGCTTGCCATCTCTCCGAATCCTATTAAGTTGCTGGTCTCAGCCATCCTCCATGACAATCCACTATTCTGCATGTGAGATTTTCAAGTTTGCTTCCTTTCAGTACAATCCCTTATTACACAACCCTATTGCCCCTGATAGCTAGTCTAGGGTGAAGAGCCCTGCTCTCGCCTTGTCTTGCAAAAGAGATCAGGGACTTAACTCCCTTCTCTGAATCTTGAGGTTTCTCCCAATAAACTCACCATTAGCCACCTTATCGCATCACAACTTTAGGTGGTTATATCCCCCTGGAGTAGGCTAAACAGGGATACAGACTCATGCGCTTCACTCAGAGGTTCCCATACTCCTTACTTTGACACCTACCTTTTCCAAAATGCTCTACCCCACTCTCCGCCATTCTTTTTGGAAAATACTTGGAGTGGAAAGTCCAACGTTGCCACTGTTCTCAACCACTGTCTTTTGCTTGTCTGCAGCGTCCAAACAAGCACAAAACAAATTCCCAGCTATAAAACAGATATTTGTATCTGCTGCCTACTGTATGCATGAAGCACAGGAAGTTGAAGCGCCAGAGACTGGGGGGAAAAAGATGATTCTATTGATAGGGTGTAACCTAACCATCTTTCTGGGCCTGCTGTCTTGGGCATACTCCTGCCTTTTCCATTTTGAACAGGTTCTCCTCCTGCCCCTGTAACATCCATTTGTAGCAGGGCCTGGTGATAGCTTAATAGGTAAAGCATTTTCTGTAATCAGCAGACCATAATTGGCAGGCATTAGATTTCTCAATTGCCCATTTTAATACTGTTCTCCAAATTTGCTGACAACTCAGACCTAAAGTCTGAAACTCTTGTTATATTTAATATCATTTGCCTTGCTTTTTGGTAAAAATAAGTTGTGTCTAAGTGACAAGAGAAGTCACATGCTAGGTTAGGTTCCTGTTCCAGCTCTCTGAAGAATTCCTGTTTAACTGGGATTACATAATCATTACCTTTGGAGACAGTTTCTTACAAATGTAGGTACAGAGCTAAAGGATGGTGGCTCAGGTGATACCCTACCTGTGCAACATAATTCCTCCTGGCTTGCTGCAGTGGGCTGAGCTTGGAAAGACAGACCTGTGTTTTGCACTTCTTCCTTTCCTTCCATTCAGCTGTGCCGAAAGATTTAAGTGTATTGTTTTTAAGGATAATTGGCACAGTTCGTTTTGTACCATACACAATCGTATTATCAGATGAAGGAGGAAAGCCATCTCTGAAGTCATCTAAGCCTTTTTTCAGGAATATCCAGCGCTGGCTATTAAGGGAATCTGAGAACGTCAGCTTGCTTTTTCGAAAGTAGTTAGAAGACATTTTCTTAGGACATCTGAAAAGAAATTATATTATGTAGAACGTAAAGGCTGGGTTCTAATGAAAAGCATTAGAGTATATCCTGAACATCGAGAGTACAAGTGGATATTTAACTCCAAGTATGTTCATCCACGTTGCCCAGCAGTTTATCGTTGCTCTGCTTTATAAAAAGCTTATAAACACTTTAACTCGTACTATATCAAGGACAACTGCCAAAAATAAGAATTCCTAGCTCACAGAAATTCCTGACACTTCAAAAATTTGTTTTGAAATAAAATTCCTAGGAACTTCAGAAAAATTATGTCTCAAAGTATATATCATATATATACACACACACACACACATATTGCTTGAACTACATAAGAGCATGTTATATCTTAGTTTCAGCTGTTCCCGTCATTACAATGTAAGTTATACCATGTATGTAGTCAGAATCACAATGAAAATAAGGTTTTAATAAAGTTATCAAATGAGGATTTCCTCAGGGCAGCATTTTCTGACACAAATCTTCCATCAGTGTTTGTTAACTGTACCATCAAGATTGCCCTCACTCTTCACAACTGCCTCATTTCAGTTGATTGTAACTTGCTCAATTTCAGCTATTCCACATGAAATCTTTCACTCATGGCATCCTGAATTAGTATAGCATCTCAAACAAAATAGCTTTGGCAATTTCAGCAAACGAGGTACCAGTTGGTAACTGAAGCAATCTTCATTTTCAAGAGCTCATGACTAGCATCCAAGTTGCAGTTTTCAAGGTGGTTCAGGTTGTTGCACGGAGCACTGCTAGCCACATAGCGTGGTAGCCCAGAGCGGTGGAACTGGAGTGGGAGACCCCAGCCATTTTCTAATAAAGTCAGAGGCTGCATTAACCAGCTGTTGGCAGTTTCTCCAACAGTTTGTGTTAGGAACTCCATAGAACACATTAACAAAGTGATTTGAAGTTGCAAAACTGATTTAGATCCTTTTTGATCTATAAGCATTAAAGGAGGGTAGGAAACCAGTAACTTTATTGCTCAACTTGGTTTTACCAGAAAAGCATCAATTATGCTATGGGAATATTAGGACCCTGTTGCAAAGCAAATAGAGAAAAAATAAGACGTGCATCACAGATTCCCCAGCTTTCTGCTTATGCCAAGTACAAATGAGGAATGGCTATGTTAATCCTACTTCAGTTTTACTCTCTCATGCTAAATATATTCTCACCATAGTTTGCTCTGCTTCACTTTGGATGCTAGCAGGGCATCTCTTTTCTCTGAAAAGAAAAAAGAAAAAACACTCAGCAGCTAGGAAATACATCTACTTACAATAAATGCTGAGATATTGCTACATAGCCATGCATGAGCGTGCATTACTCTAGTGAAAAGAAAACCAGACTGAGATTTACAGCTACGTAGCACAGGTGGGTGGTCGTTCATAGATCCTCCAGGTTCAAGTGCTAAGCATAGCAGCCAAATTCTGGGAGAGAAATGCCATTACAGCTCCCACACAGCACAGTCCCCACTGCTGCAGCAGCAGTAAGACCTAGGAAGGGCAGTGCACTCCCGTTCCACACTCACCTTTCCTCCCCACAGCTCTTAATTGACAGAGTGAGCAAGCACAGAATGGACTTAAGGCTCTGTCTTTTCCTGTGGGCACTTATGCACAAGCAGCACTGCCCCAAACACTGCACGCACATGTAGGCCTTGAACAGGTATCTAAGCATACTAACACAGGTTAACGCTCCAGAGTTAGCACTCTTCCTCAATCCAAATGACCCCCACCTCCTGATACTACCCTGTGGTCTTTGTCTCCTGAAGCATACAGAGGTCCTGGATACATAGCAAGTTCTTGGGTTCCTAGGTAAACTCTGGCTCCTTGTCTGCAGAAGTCTTAAATCCCCTCTCCTCACCTTTTATACAACTTTACAGCCACAAATACTTTTTACTTAGTAGGCTTCCGTTTCCGAGTACCTCCTCCAGAGTCTGGAGTAGCTGCCTGACTTGAAACAGACACCAAACCGGAAGCAAAGAACAAACGAAAAACTCTTGCTTCAACCCAGCCTGCTCAGTTTTGATTTGCTGTCACTCACTCTCTACCTTTCCTTCAGGCCCACATAATTCACTTCAACCTATATTCCATTGTTCAAAGTTGTATGCAAGGCTACCATGCCGGGCTGCTTACCATCCTTGTGTGGTTTATGACATTTGTTTGCCTGCACTGGCATACTTAAGTGATTGATTAGGTTCATGTATTTTCAATTGCTACTTGCAGTGCCGTTGTAATAGCCCTCACATGTTAAAGCATAATAAGACTGAATAGCATACAAGGTCTATGTTAGAGATTCAGTGTTTCTCACTTTCAATAGCCGATACCCCTGGATTAAGCTATGTCTCAGTAACTCAGTACAAAATCAGTTCTAAGAAACTATGAGGTAAAACAAGAATTGCAAACAGAATAGTACATACCTGATATTTTACAGCTCTGACTGAAGATTTCACAGGCAAAAATGGCTTTTTATTCCGTGATGACTGACATATAGAAAGGTACCCAAAGGTGACTCTGCAAGAAAATCTAACTTAACACTTTTGCAGTTTTGCTTCAGGCAAAGGCGGCACTAGTTTTAAGTCCCAGCAGATAAAATACACTAGGCATGTTTGCATTTGGTTGTTGTGGAAACTAGACCAACTCATTACCTGCCTACAACAAAGGCTTTCAGTCACACATATGCTTCAGCGCAGAAAAACAGAATTCCCAGGGGCTGTAGAGAATAACTTGGAATTTAAAGCAGAGTTTCATTTCTTTACCACATATTTGTTTATATTTTCAATATTAGCACTTGGTTCATTACTTAACAAGCCAGGTCCTTTCTGCTGGTGAAAAACAACATAAAGGCATGTTGAACAAAGCATTGCTAAGCGCTCTTTAACATAGATCCACACAGAACATACAAAAAGCAAGCATGTGGGTCAGGTCTGATCTCATAAATTAGATGGACCAAACTTCACATGGTTTTGAGTAAAGACAAAGATACATGAATTCCAAAGCAATTACTTGTGAAAATTAGAATACAGAGTAGCTCTCTTCCCCAGGCTGTGAAATACATTCTGCTAATTCCTGATCCCATTGAAGGCAGTATTTTTGTTTTAGGGAGAGTTTGATCTGTAGCTCTAACTAATACCAAACTACTAGTACGGTAAAGGACCCAGCAGGCTGGAACATTTTGTTAGGCTCCAGCAGTAGGGCAGGCAGCAGGGCACCTCAGTTTCATGGGGTTGTAACCCAGGGAAGGCAAAGCCTGAGAACATAACCAACTCCTCCCCAAAATCACACGCGAGGAAGGAAGGGGAACTTACAAGCCTTAAAAGCAAGACCTTGAGAAAGGTAGCACATTTGTTTGTGGCTTATTGCTTATATAACAAAATGATCACTTTTGCATTGAAAAAATACACACAGGAAGTGAGACTAAACAAAGCTGAAGTTTTCTTTGGCACAAATATTTAGTTAACTGATGACTGGCATGCTAGAATTTCACTTGCAGGATAAATTAAAAATCATTCTGCTTCTCACTTACGCAGACAGTACTGAATCATTTCATGAAGAGCAGGACAGCTCCCCTGGAGGAGACAAAAGGGAGCTTGCCTCAAAAGTACACCAGTGCCTACTGGTTAAGGCACTGGAGTCTCACTTAAGTTGCTTAAACATGGGTGCCTAATGCTCAGAGATGCCTCACAGCACCAGGGACACCCACAGAGGACCAGTAGATTCATCATAGGAACTAGGGGATATCTGTATCATCCTGTTCTGACAGCTGTAGGACAGGTGGGACACCCAGAGAGCCTAAGTCCAGTAACTGAATTAAGCCCCATTTCCAGTTCCTGTCCTATCATTACTTCATTGATTTAGGAGAAGGATTTTTGCTTTATGGATAGTGTTAACAGGGGTATGAGAACAACCATGGACGTCTCCCAAGCAGCAAGAATTAGTTTCAGGCTTCCAGCACAAAAGCCTATTTTCAGACACAGTTTACAACTAATCTGACCAATTAAAGTAGGCAAGAACACATCCACAATTGATTGAAGAGCACAAATCCTTCAAATCTGAGTTATCTACACGTTGATCTACCAAATGATACTCTGATATCAAAGATAGCCTGCTATGGCCTTACTACAAAGAAACAGCAGATGGGACTACTCCAGTATATGCTTACAGAGCTACTAGAAACCCTGAAGATCGTATTTCAATCTCCAACCTCAAAGTCAGCATCAGAAGCAAGCTCTCAGACTAGCATACAAACGCAAAACCTTACTATGTCTTTCTGCACCTGTAGAGCATGCAGCAGAATTGCCCATGCAAATAACCAAGAAATATTAAAAAACCCCAGTTTTCACATGAAAAAAAGCTAAAATCACTGTCACTGATTACTGACCTTGATGTTTTTTACAATTGCCTACACAGAATACCTGCAGAAGAACCTATCAACTATAACTCATAACTATCAGTTATTAAATATTAGGGAATCAAAAATAAAAAGATTGTTTCATACTGCTTTCCACCTCAATTTTATAGAGGTAATGGTCACCTAACCTTACATAGGACCAGTGGTACCATAACCTTTTCTCTTCACTAATACTCCCCTCTGCTTCACCATAGAAAACATTTTACCATCAAGTTGTCTGGCTGATTAACATAGAATCACAGAATGGTTTATGTTGGAAGGGACCTCTGGAGATCATCTAGTCCAACCTCCCTGCTCAAGCAGGGTCCTCCAGAGCATGTTGCCCAGGATGGCATCCAGACGGGTTTTGAATATCTCCAGCAAAGGAGACTCCACTACCTCGCTGGGCAACCTGTTCCAGTGCTCTGTCACCCTCCCAGGAAAGAAGTTTTTCCTCAGGTTCAGGTGGAACTTCCTGTGCTTCAGTTTCTGCCCGTTGCCTCTTGTCCTGTCGCTGGGCACCATGGAGAAGAGACTGGCCTCATCCTCTTGACACCCCCCCCCCTTCAGATACTTATACACGTTG